AGCCTTCTATTATTCTCCTTCCCTAATTTGCTGACAGGTCAGGATTCAGGGACCTAGGTCAACTAAGACCAAGTGGGGAAGAGGGTCTCAGGGGGAGACTTAGTTTCCCTCTAACGAAAGGCCTGCCAAGTCCCCTGGCCTAACAGAATTGTGAATCACTGCTTCCTGGGAAGGGTTGTTTTTATAAATACAATCAGACTATGGCATCAGACTAAGGATGACCCCTCTCTTTCCTAGAAAATGTTGGCACTCTTATACTAAATTGTATTAGGCCAAGCAGTTTCTGAATTAGAGCGAGGAGATGGGTTTTCAGCTATTGCCAACTTAGAGAATGCAAGCTTCTCACCTACTTTCATGATAGAAAATTTTGTATTGTTGTCATCAGCCTCCTAGCTACAGAGGACACAATGGCCACAGTGCCAGTCAGGATACCCATGAACAACAGAAGCCACTTCCAAGACGTGTATATTGGAATTTCTTTCTTTCCTATTGTACTTTTCCAGGAAAGGACACTTTTTTTTTTTTTTTTTTGGTAATGGGGATTAAACTCAGGACCTTGCGCTTGCCAGGAAAGCGCTGTGCTGCTGAGCTAAATCCCCAGCCCAAGGACACCACTTTTTACCCCAAACAACTACACTAACTCATGAAAGTGGACACAAGAGATGGCAAAAACTTACCCAGCTCAGATTATAAGTCCCAAGCCCTTTTCCTGTCATCCTGCCTACTAAGGAGAAGGTCTGGAAGGTAGTATTCCTGAAGATCTTTACAGACATGTGTCTCATCTGCCACCACAATACTCCATCTGCACCCCGGCAGCTTAGGCCAGAAGGGATAGACGGGCCTGGAAGGACCAGGTGAGGGTCGGCAACTGTGCTCAGCCAGTGCTCTGTGCCTCGTGTCACCCATCCCCATAAGGGCATGATCTATGTGGGCACAGCAGAGGAGCTTCATGGCAGCCTGCCCAGGTGTCTGCGAACAGCGCCACAATGCAGAACGAGGTTCCCCTGTGACTCCTTTGCCCATGTGCTCTTTGTACTGTGGGAGAAGGGCAGTGGGGGACTTATAATTGCTTCACACTCGGACTGGACAGTTCTCTCTCCATCTAAATTGCTTTGTCATTTCTCTCTGAACACAAGAGGAGGGTAAGGATCCAGGAGAGGACCTCAGGTCACAGCACTTGAGAGGCCAGGCTAGCGTGGCGGTCCCGCTCCACAGCCACTCTCCCTGCTCCTGGCTTTCTAAGGCAGTAGAGGGATGACAGTGGGACACAAAAAGGCCCTGGAGTGCTGGGGCTCTAGTTCTAGAAAAAGAATTTAATTTCCTTAAGGCAAGCAAAATGCTGGGATATAATCTCCAAAACAACTATACTAAGCCTTGGTTCTGAGAATCAGGGTCAGAACTTGTTCAGTAATGCAAGCTCTGGTATCTGGACTTACTTCACTTTTCTTCCTGAGGTACTTTTCTTTATTTCAATCAAAAATCAATGTATGCACTATTTTTATATTCTATTATAATCACAGACTTGCAAACTAGCAATGCTCCACCTTCCTACCTAAACTAGCCACATAAAATGACAAAAGATCATCAAGATCAGTTTTTAAAATGTGTGAGGCCCCAGCACACACACAAAATCTGGAAAAGATAAAGTTAGCTGCACAGAAATTAAATATTATTCATTATTGTAAGAGAATTAATAATGACTATAGTTTTTTCTTTTTTTTTGGTAACGGGGATCAAACTCAGGTCCTTGCGCTTGCGAGGCAGGCGGTGGAACCACTGAACAAAATCCACGGCCCAATAATGACTATAACTTTTTTTTTTTGTTAAATTCTTTTATTGGTACATTTTAGGTATACAACACAATTACATTTCTCATTGGGAATTGTACCTTTACATAATGCATCTTGGTTCTTATTTTTATGACTATAGTTTTGAACACAGTCAATCAGTTATGTACTGGTTTGTCTAAGTTTTTTTTTTTTTTTGGTACCGGGGATCGAACTCGGGTCCTTGCGCTTGCGAGGCAGGCAGTGGTACCACTGAGCTAAATCCCCGGTCCTTGTCTAAGTGTTTTGTGAGTGCTCCCTAGTGCAGAGGCCGATTTGGGAAGAGATCAGGAATATAAGGTAATATCCACTCCTATAGGCTTTCTCCTAAATCAGATTATCTCAGTGCACTTGGCTTTAGATCACAAAGGAAAGAATCTCTGTTTAATTTAGATCAGGTTCAGTATTCAGCTGAGGTAAAATCTGAGGAAATCTTTTTTAAAAAGTAGAACATAGGAAATGAAAATTCTATTCTGGGCTTTTATGTACATTTATTTTGTGTCTCAGACGATTAGTTTAATCCTGCTTTTTGCCTCAATTTCCCAATTTGGAAAATAATGTCATTTTCACCTACTTTGTGAAAAAGCATTTTGGTAGTCTGTGGTTGTAGGCACTGCAAAAGGAGCCAAAAGTCACTATGAACTCCCAAAGAATTGGGTTCATATCTGGGGTGATCTGCTGTGACACAGATATACCTGTGTGCGTGTGTGTGTGTGTGTGAGAGAGAGAGAGAGACAGAGACAGAGAGAGAGAGAGGGAGAGAGGGAGAGAGAGAGAGAGAGATCTCCCTGAACACTGTAAATGCCTGAGAGAGGGGCGTACTTCTATTTCCAGATGTGGGCCAAAGCCACAAATTTTTGATACCAAACTTGCCCATCTGCCTCTTCTAAGGAAGAAGACTGAAAAGAAAGGATATTTGAGGAATGCTTCGCAGTTTCAAAGCAAATGTACATTAATCTGATCCTCAAATGGAATACTGTTCCCATTTTATTGATGAAGAACTTGATGTTCAGGGAAGTTATACAATTTACCTGCAAGCAATATATTCAAGACTCATACGTAGTTACTTCTATTCCATATCCATTGCTCATGTTCCCAAGTTTCCCTGGGCCAGAGCCTACTTCACAGTTAGCAGACTACAGATTCTTAAGTACCATTTTGGTCAAGGTTAAATAAATATGATTTTCTTCAGTGTGGATAGAAAATTGATAATGAGATGATTTGTAACAAATGATTAAACGGCCATCACTTGAGAATCTCCTCCCTCTCCCCTTCATGTGCTTCAAAAGTTAAAAGGTGCTGGGTGAAGGTGGGAGCAACATCACTTTACTTGAAGAGAAGGAAGCTTCAGCCCCACACCCCTCACCATCCAGTCATTTTGCAAACAGATGTAGAGAAGATCCGTCTCCTTACCATCCTGTTACTCTGAAGGGATGATAACAGCCATTGGGGGGTTAAAAAGAGGCAGTGAACCCCCAGTTAATGAGTAGGAATTCAGCAGGCAGTGAAAGATAAATGGAGCTCTCTCTGCTTCTGCTAGAGTCAGCATGAACTGCGGCCCTGCGGCTTGTTTGTGGCAAATGGAGTGCACGAAATATCAAAGGGCAGTGATCCAGAAGAAGACCGACTTTGACAAATTTTAAATTGGCCAGAAAGAAAACCAGGGGAAAAAAAAAGGAAAAAGAAAAAGAAAGAAGGAAAAAAAGAGAGAGAAAGAATAAAAAATAGAGGGGAAATTATGCAATTTGCTGTGTCCTCCAATTGTGGCATTGCTCTTTGTAGAGAATTAGTGGAAAAACAGCAGCAACGATTGCTGAATGCTGGGAGCCATTATGAGCCATCTAAGTGAGATGCTTATCAGTGGCTGAAGCTTTTAGAGCTCTCTCTATGTACAGTTGCAAGTAACTTGCTCTTGAGCTGCAGTTACTTTAATTAAAGTGTATGGGGTTGGTCAGAAGTAATTATCCTGTTTGGAAAAGAAAGAGAAAAAAACCACCTCAACAATTCTAGGTGGCAATAGATTTTAGAAACAACTTTGCCAATTTCTTGTTGTTAAGTGTGCATTTCCCATAAAAGGATCAGGCGGCAGCCAGTTAGAGTTACTGGTGGCTGTTATGTAACGGCAAACAATAGGACACAACAGGGTTTATTGTAACCCCAGTCACTGTGTTTGACAAGCAACCTAGCTCAGGATTCCAACTACCTGGTGGTGCAGTCTTCACACTGTAGGCAAACACTTGGCAGTTTTTTCTGTCCCCCAGTGGTGAAGACATAGAGCCCACAAATGGTACTTTATTAATGAAATCACTCTTTGGAATACTGAGCTAGAATCTCTTTTTTTACTCCTTCCATTCATTGAATTTCACTACCTTTATAAGACAACCTCTCTGTTCCTTTAGAAAAACCAAACCAACTAACAAAAGAACCCCAACCAATTATCTTTACTAACACAGGAAGGGGCTCAATGGGGGGCAGAGATAGAAAAACAGTGCTTTAAAGAATCCAAAACTCATTCAGACTCTGGACTCAACATAGAGCTCCCATGGTTTATTTCTATGTTCAAATCGCAAGTGTTTTCCAAAAGCTCTGAAAACAAATGAGCAACGGGGCAACGGCTGGCAGCATCAAGCATGAATGCTCCCAGGGCTATTGCTGTTGCAACCACTATTTGGAAGCATACAGTGCACAATCTTTACTTCTATTTCTCTAGCTCAGGATGACCCCAGAACACTGCCTGGGTAGAGACTCCTCTGCTTTTCTATAACAAGACACTGACTTTCACATTCCTCAGAAATGAGAGAGACTATTCAAAGCGACAAACAGAAACAGGACATATTTAAGTCTCGCATATTCTTTGCCTCATTAGCCCGCCCCCAACAGCAACCTCTAGCTAATCATTCTTTACAGGAATATCCTAGAAAAGTGGGCTATATGTACTATAAGGAAATATCAGAAGGAAATTCAGGTGACTTTTGCTTTTTGTAGGTTTCACTTTCCCTCCTATTACACACACTATTTCATTCTACCAGGGTTCTTACCATACAGAGGACAGTAAATAAAGATTATCATGAATTTGATCAAATGCTTCAATGCCTCCTCCTCTCGCCTATGAATGCTCTCATTACAAATCAGCTGAATGGCTCATTGATTTGCCAAGACGACAAGCAGACATACCCAATCGCTCAGCCAAGCGGATGTAGACTGGGTCCACCCTACGCATGGTTTTCACCAGATCCTTTTTGCGGAATTTGATTTCTACTGTCCCTTCTGGCTCCAGAACTGATCCCCTGGATCAGAGAGAAACAAAACAAAACAGAAATAGAGGCACTTTAAAGGAAAGAGACAACAGAATGAGGCCAGTTACAATTTGTGGACCAGGAAATAGCTTCATTATGGTTTTGCCCACCCATGGTTCACAGAAGTCACCCCAGGGAGAAAAGCAGGCATCAGGGAAGTGTCTAAGTGAGGTATGAGAAAGGCCTGGCAAAAAGCAATTAAAATAATTCTCATTTCCACACCAGTCAACTTCCATCTCAACGGGAGAATACAGATTCCACTACCTATAGCTGATAAGGGTGACCGGAATCACATTATTTTCCAGAAAAAAAAAAAAGAAAGAAAAGGAAAAAGAGATGCTATAGGTGCAGTGGCAGGGCAACCACCTCTAGCACTTGAGCTGTACCAGTGAGGGGTCAATGTTGATCATTCTACACCACAGTGGTCAGTCTGTTGATAGGACTAGGTTCAGATACACTAGGCCAGGGCCGGGGATTTAGCTCAGTGGTTTCGCCGCCTGCTGCACAGGTGCAAGGACCTGAGTTCCATCCCCGGTACCAAAAAAAAAAACCAAAACAAAACAGATACACTAGGCCAGGTCAAAGGGTAGGTAAAATATTCTGCCCACTGCAATGGAAATTAGCAAAGTGAAAGGTGTCAGGGTTGCTACTAGTAATACTAATGATGCCCTGTCACCAAAAATTATGCACTAGGGCTGGGGATTTAGCTCAGTCGCCTGCATCACAAGCGCAAGGACCTGAGTTCGATCCCCAGTACCAAAAACAAACAAAAAAACCCCCCAAAATTATGCCCTAAATACATTAAAATTTTTTATGTTTAAAATTTTTCAGCAAATGCCTAATATGTATGCGTAAGGCACCATTTCAAGTGCTTACAGATAAATACTTAAAAAAATTCTATGCCCAGTGAACATCCACTATGAGGTAGGGTACTGATACCTCCATTTTATAGGTGAGAAAACTAAGGTATTGGAAGTTTAAGAAACTTGTCCAAATCTATCAAGTAGCAGACCTGGATCTGAAACCAGATAGTCTGATTCCAAAGTCTTCTGAGGAATGGTCTCTAATCTGATTATCAGGTCAGGAGGTGGATTAGGACTTAAAAATAATAAACTTCTCAAGGTAGAATGCTAGCCTATTAATTTGACAGTAAAAATACTAGACTTTCCTAAGCAGCTTTTGAAGTAGAAGCCTGAATTTTTTTGGGAAAAGACAGAAGTAGGTGTTGCAATAGAAAGAGTGGCAAATGTCAAGGAAATACGCTGTGTGCTTATCTACTTAGGACAGGGTTGAGAAACATTATCAAAGGATGCTGGATTTGATCTCTTTTACCTAAGTAGTTTGAAGTGCCACCTCCCAGAAAACCTGGGCTTCTCTCTTACAGCTTTTTGGGGACTGCAAACATTGTGTCCTCCAGCATCCTGGAATGCCAATGTGAAACCCTGGGCTCCAAAGGAAGGAAACAGAATGTGGGTGCTGTGGTACACATCAACAACCAGCCAGCTTAATCAATAAACAAAGAGAAGCAGGGCCGGGGATTTAGCTCAGTGGTGCCGTGCCTGTTTTGTAAGTGCAAGGTCCTGAGTTCAATTCCCAGTACTGCCAAAAAAAAAAAAAAAAAAAAAAAAGAAGCAGCCTAGGAAGTACAAAGACTGTGGCAAGTTTCTCAATAGTGAGTGAGTTAAAACCCTAGCACTCCAGATTAACAATTCAGTCCTTCTACTCCAACTAACTTTTAAGCTCTCTCTGCTATAAACCTAAGAAAGAGATGGTAAAAGAGGGCATGGTGGTGTATTCCTGTAATCTAAGCACTCTGGGAGGCTAAGGCAGGAGGACTGCAAGTCTGAGCCCAGCCTGGGTAACTTAGCAACTTAGTGAAACCCTGTCTGAAAAGCAAAACACACAAAAAACCAAATATACACACAAAAACAGAAACATATGTACACACACACACACATATATATATATTTTTAAAGGCTGGGGATGTAGCTCAGAGGAAAGGCCCTTGGATCAATCCTCTGTATCATTAAAAACCAAATCAAGGGCTGGGGATTTAGCTCAGTGGTTTCGCCGCCTGCCTCGCAAGCCCAAGGACCCGAGTTCGATCCCCGGTACCAAAAAAACCCCCCAAAACCAAAAAAAACCCAAATCAAAACAAAACTCCAACAATGAAAACAGTAACTAGGTGCAGGTGAATAACAAGAGGGAGGTGAGAATCGGGAGTTTAGCAGTGCCTCGAAGAGAGGACTTCATGGTAAAGGAATTTAGCAGGGGGGGATTATGCTGAGAACGCTCAATTCTAGCCTGGTTTCCATCTCATGGAAGCAGATATTATTTAGAAAGCCTACTTTTCTGACCTGGGAGTCCTGTGGCAATAGAAAGATTCAAATGAAATTGTCTTGGTTATAATGTTCTCTAGGAAGAAACCAACAGCTAGAGGGTCCCTAGAGTCAATGAATAGAAATAAGGAAGGCACTCTACCTGCTTTCTCGGTCAGCATACATCTCCATGTGCCGAGGGTTGATGGTGGGGTCAATCACAACCCAGGAGCCACCCCGAAGCTCAGCCTGGGGAGGAATGTAAACCATCACTGGCTGGGAGCATTCCCGCAAGCCATCCACGATGTAAGCCCCAAACTTCAGCACTTGGTCATACATATCTACAGAGTGAGAAAAATTGGAAATCATGATATTTATCCTCTCCAAATACTGTTCACATCATGGCACACACAGAAAAAAAAATTTTTTTTGCAGGGGGTCAGTACCAGGGATTGAACTTAGGACCTTGCACTTGCAAGGTGTGGTGTCACTGAGCTAAATCCTTGGCCCCAGAAAATATTTTTTATGGCACACTGTGACTCCATGAGGAGGGTGCTCATGGCTAGAGGTGACAGGTCTGGGGGCTACAGTCACCTCAGATCCTGACTGGCCACTCTAAAGACTAAGGATTGGTATATCCACCCATATTACACTCAAGACCCCAGATGATCTTCAAAAGCACAAGAGAGAAATGTACTGTCTTTCATAAGATACAGTGTGTAAGGCCTCCAGATTGTATATCCATTTTATATCCTATCTGAATTTCTGTACTCAGGTTTCACCACATTAATTCACACTTGCTCTGCAAACGTTGAGTATTTTTCATGTCAATATGTGATCTCTCCCACTACATTAAGTTTTCTGAAAGAACTATTCTACCTCTTTTCATTTCCTCTCATGATTCTTAGCATATGATGAACTCTTAAAGTGTACAGCTATTGGAAATTGATCCTTCAGAAATTTTATCCTTAAAAACTAGATGTTTCATCTTTGTAACCTCATTGTCCTACCTAGTTCCTGGAACACAGTGTTCAGTAAGTATTTGCTAAATGAATGAATGAGCACATACACACTTTAGAAAGAATACAAGAAAGAAAACCAAATTACTTAATACTATAGTTACATTTTTTTTTTTTTTTTTGGTACCAGGGATCGAACTTGGGACCCTGTGCTTGCAAGGCAGGCGGCGGAACCACTGAGCTAAATCCCCGGCTATAGTTACATTTTTATAGGATACCAGTGAAAGAAAAAGTATATAATATCACATAACCACATACCACCACAACTTTTTTTTTTTTTGGTACCAGGGATCGAACTTGGGACCTTGTGCTTGCAAGGCAGGCGGCGGAACCACTGAGCTAAATCCCCGGCTATAGTTACATTTTTATAGGATACCAGTGAAAGAAAAAGTATATAATATCACATAACCACATACCACCACCTCTTCATTATGGTAGAGTACATTCTGTAATCCCCTCAAGGCCAGGAGCAGCCTGAAGAAAAGGAAACCTGGTACATAAATAGAGTCTTCTTTGGAAAGCTGGATCAGTTATTTAGTTCTCAACTTTTTATGGACTTCTTCCTATTTCCCAGCTCCTTGAAGTCTAACACTGCTCATGTTTTAGCTTTATGACTCCAGGTGCTTAATGAATACTTCAGTGAAGTCACAATGGATCCTTTCTAACACCAAATAACAGGTTTTTACTGAGTTCAAACTTTCCTATCAAAGAGAAGATCTCAATTTGGAATAGATCAATTCTGGAAATCCAAGGCAAAGAAGCATTTTTCAGGAAGTTAAGAGCAAACCAAATAGAAACTGCTTTCATTGTAGTTACTGGCAAATTAAACTGACACTTTCTCCCAAGTAAAAATGGTTCTATATAAACCATCAGTGAGCAGCTCACTGCAAGGCACATGCCTCTGTCCACAGCCCAACCTGGCTTGTCTGTGAAGACTTCAAAAATCCCAAGTTGGTCCAGGAAACACTCCCTACACTATGTAGAATGTGTATTGTCCTATACTCTGTATACATGATCAGAGCAAAGACATTTATTCCCTTGGGAGGAAAGCAAAGACCAAAAAAAATTTACTGCTAATTATACAACTGCTGTATGAAGAGCAGAGAATAAAGGACTTTAAGCGCTTTACGCTAATTCTGTAGTTATGAAAATAATTGCTCAGTTTAAATTATTTTAACTAAATTAATTCTTTAGTGGATATTTCAACCAGTGCTACATAATAAAATAATTATGTAATTAGCAGTACATTTTTCAGTGCTGCCAAGAGTACAGTTTAGAACAAGTAACAGAAAAGAGGGACCTCACTGCCCTTGTGCACAGAGAAGTGAAGGTATAGACAAAAGGTAAAGATAAATAGAAGACAGCATAAAAAGTCATTCTACCTGGGGAGGTGAAAAAACCAACAACATGTTATGGATAAATGAAGACAAAATTTCTAGTCTCTCTCCTACCCAAAGGTTGAGGATCAATCCCAGATCGTCATGTATGTTAGGCAAGCACTATACCACTGAGCCACACCCCAGCCCCTTTCCTGCTTTTTACTCACTTGTTTGTTCAAATCATTTATATCAAAATCTATCTCTGTACTATCTATGGTTAACATGTCCAACCCCCAAAATGGGAAAACTATTTAAAATATATTTTCATTCATTTAATTTTTTAAAGCCATTTAATTTCATGTTATACAGAAAGTGTCTGGAATGAAGCTGAGTGTATTTGCATTTTTCATGTTTGTGAAATGGACTTTGGTTCCTCTTTTTCATCATTATGGACAGCTTACTGTGTACCCCGGATTATGGTGCGCACACACATATACATATGCACGCACACACACATGAATCATTTAGAGTTTCAGGTGAGTAAATGGAAACTTGCATCAGGGACAGGATTCAAACTCAGATCTTTTCGGCTTTAAAAGTTCACCTCCTACTATCTCACTCTTACTCTCATTTTTATTGCTAGGAAAGAGCATGAGGCTGAGGTAATCTCTTTCTAACCTTGAATGTAATAGCTAAGTAAAAATAAAACCAGAAAAAAAGGCTTGAATAAATGGTTGAATACTACAAGTGTTGCTTGGATTTTCCTCTATGGGTAGAAATGTCAGAAATTGTACTGATGTCACTAGCAGCTATGTGATGGGCTTGGATCTGGCTGCCAAACAAGTATTTTTCAACAGCAATTCAGAGTAGAAAAGGGGCATCAGGCTTCATTAAAGCTGACACGCTTGAGGCTAAAATAATGCCTCTATCTAACCTGAAAACCAACAGACCCTCAGTCTAAGCAACAAAATACCCAAACAGCAGACTATTAAAATACAAACAAACACACAAACAAATTCTACAATCAACATGTTCATACTGAATTGCAGCTGTCCCAAAACGATGCATTTTGAAAGGTAACTTTAAACATTTGGCAACAATCTGATATCCAATTGTCTGAGATCCCTTTATAGTTAAGAGATAGGGGGAAAACACAACCAAGAGTAGCAGGAGAGGAGGATTCCCAAGGGTTGACACTTAGAAATCAATCTAGGGAATTTTAAAGCTGTGCATATGCTGTCAGTTCTCGGTCCTGAAAAATGCACCTGGAAATGGAAAATACTGATAGGTTCTTCACGAGACAGATAGGAACTCTGAGTTTTCTAGCATTCTGGGCAAATGTCTGGTGTTCACATACAGCCTTTGAAGCATGTTTTTAGCACCCAGGCACCAACCCTGCTTAGGGCTTTCATTGTTATACAATGTGGATAAACTGTGGCAGCCATATGTACCAAACAAGAGAACAAGGTGCCTGAGCCACAGAGCCCCACACTCTCAAAGTGGAACAGATTTCATTGGCTTGGGCAAGATTATCTGTTAGAAGCTGAAGGTAAACATCACACATACACAAGCTGTATATACATAATGTCTCTCATGAGTTCATTACGGCCGGGGGAACACTGTATTTCAACATCCAAGTAATCAGAGACTTTAAAATAGACTTTCATTCTAGTTAAAGTATTCAATAAATGTGTTTTTTTATTGTTATTTATAACCTGTCCCAGGAAAAAATAATAAGTATAACATGAAAAGCCAACTGAGAGTGACCCTGTAGCACCAGCAGTGAGGCGGCTTAATATCACTGGGATTTGCATCCTATCAAGCTATTCATGCTGAGGCTGGGACCCTGGTGCTAATTTCTAGTAAATTTCACGCTTGATGTCTCCCTGTTGTGGGTCATTGCCGGTTCGTCTAAATAAACTGCTTCCAAATGGCTCTTCCATCTAAATATTCAGCCAGTTTTTATAATTTAATTTTGCATTATGCTGAATAGCCTTCCGGCCAGATAGAGCTCATTGGAAAAAAGCACCAATACCATCTTGACAAGCTTTTATTTATTTATTTATATTTTTACTGCTCGAATTAGACCTCCTAGGCCGACTAGTAAAGAGTTTTTTTTTCCCCTCCACTAATGTCAATTTTCAGCATAGCAAGAGCTGTCTCTAATCTTTTCCTACTCATTACACACAATTTTGGAGTCATTTTACCCACAGTGCAGTCGGCTCCTGGCTGTGTGTTTGTGTGCACTGAGGGATGGCATAATTGTTTATTTTCCCTCCCTGCATAATCCCCAGCCAGTACTGAAACCAAAACTGCAAACATCTCCCCAAGGGATGTAGAGAATGACAAGAGGCTCTCAGTTTAGGTCCCTTTACATGAGATAATACGCAGGAACATCCTGACCTGTATGTAAATATGAAAGGCTCAGTTCCTCCCTCTCCTACTTCCACAGAGATCTCTATCTTCCCTAAAGCTTATTTATCTCCTGTGATATATAAAAGGATGCATCAGCACCAAAATTCAGAAGACACAACTGGTCCTGCTCTGTTACTCAATTTTGACCAGGAGAGGGGGGAAGAGGGGATAGGCAATTACTATTTAGTGAGTGCAGAGTTTAAGTTGGGGATAATGAAAAAGTTTAGGGTTATAGATAGTACTGGTGGTTACACAACATTGTGAATATTTAACATCACTGAATTATACACTGACAAATGGTTAAAGTGATAAATATTATGTTTTTTGATACAAGGTCTTAACTTTGCCTTGAATTTGTGATCCTCCCAAGTACAGATTACTGGCTTAGATTACTGGCCTGCACCGGGCAGTATTATTATGTATATTTATCACATAAAAAAGTAACATTTCTAAGGTCCTGAAGTTTCTCTTCACAGTAACAAAAGATGTCCTTAAATGAGGGTAGGGGGTAGGTAGATTATAAATTTCTCAAGAATCTTAACACTTTTCTCCAGATTCTCTAGTTTATCTAGTTCCAGTCCTGAGATCTCAGATCAGCCAGCTGTGCTACAGGAAATCAGAAGGATCTACATTCCTCTCCCAATTCTGTCATTTTTAGCTGAATCATCTTGGGAAATTTACTTCAATTTGTGTAAAATGTGGATAACAATATAACCTACCTCTTAGAGATGCATGTTGTGAAGATTATGTAAGACAAAATACGTAAAATGGTTAGCACAGTTTCTCGTGAAAAGCACTCAATGAATCTTAATCGTTGTTCTTCTTATTGTTACAGGGCTAGCAGGCAATCTGGGCCTAAACTAAAATATGCAGCAGAATCGTTGCTTTTCCTGGAAGTGGTATTTCTGACACTTTTGAACTCTGAACTCTAGTTAGATAAGATAGCTGGGCTGACTTCCTCCCACATGTGTGTTGGGAAAAAGTGTATTCACCTGTTGCCCTTGCAGGAAGGCCACCAAGGAAGATATCATTGCATTATCTCTCAGGGCTTTCCAGTCAAGGAATTGGGGATCAAGTGAAATCTAATGCTAACTGAACCTCATATGTAGGAATGAAAGGGGAGTTGGCCTACTCATTTTTTTCCCAGCTTTGATGTGGTACGAACCTCTCTTGAACCTCCTGGTATTTTGTTCATACATTATCACTTTACAATCCTGCTCAAGACTTTTTCCTTGACTTCGTGAAGCAATGCCTGAGACATATTTTTGTTTTCTCTGAGGTTGCTACTATAGTTCCTTGCACACAGGAATTCAATAAAAATGTGTAGAATTGTACTCGGAATCTCTCACGATATTTCCACTGATTTATTATCTTGGTAAAAAAAAAATCACCTTAGTAGTTAAAAAAAAATATACAAACATTAATTTGCATGCACAGTCAAAGTCTCCTCCAAGAAGTGCAAAATGTGAAAGTTCTTTTTTTTTTTTTTTTGATGCCGGGGATCAAACTCCAATCCTTGCGCCTGTGCAGCAGGCAGCAAAACCACTGAGCTAAATCCCCGGACCCTTTGTGAAAGTTCTTTAACAAATATGGGCAAAGGTTACTTTTCAACTAAAAAACCAAAAAAAATGAAACTACTCTACATTTTCCCAGGGAGGTCTGGCCATAAAGGGTTCTTCCTAGCCAGGCAAGGAAAAAAAATTAATTGGCAAAAATTCTGAATATCTCTCACCACATGGTTTTCATTTATAAAGGGATGCTTCCCCACACTATTCTTCCCTCAAAGGATAGGGGTGCTTCTGTTCTTAGCTACTTCTGCATACCATACTAAGAGTTCACTGCTCCACATTTTATATATCCTTATTAGTCTCTAATCACTCCAGCATATCAACTTCTCCTTCCTTCCAATTTCCTTAACCCTTCTGCTACCTCAGTATCCTGAAATAAATGAGGTTTACACCCATCTTCATACTCAGCCTCCAAGTGTACAGTCTCCGACCTTAGCATGGCCATAGGTCTCTGCTGCTGGAGAGACAGCATCACTTTGTTAAGAGGTGAGTTATGTCTCCACTGGCTCTCTCTATATCGTCCACAGTGGCTTTGTTCAAGGAGAACTCTCAGTTAATGGTGACACACACAGGCTAATCACTAAGTAATTCCCATAGTACAAAACAAAGCCTTTGTAATAATGGTCTAATCTTGCTGGAGCCACAGGCACAGGGCTGTTGGTGGGTAATAAAACATACCACAAATTGCCACAAAGAACAGCCTCTGGTACAGAATTTGTTCATTTCCTTCTAGTTGATGCTAATTTCAGTATCTTGGTCACTGCAGAATGTTAAGAGAGTTGCATGGTTGAAAAACATGCCCAGAATAGAGGCACAGAGATAAGCACAGTTCTATTTCCCAAGACCATCAGAACTGTGCAAAACCTACCTATGAAAGCTAAATCCCCAACAACAGCTCAACTAGATAATATTAGTACATTACTCTGTAATTTTGTATGGAACCAGAAAATATACTATATTTTTCCATTTGAGTTGCAACTCAGAAGATAACTCACAGGGAGCATAATCCCCCCAAAAGCCTAGAGTGATGGGCTGTCAGGGCAACCACAGGCTCTGTGGAATCTAAACCCACCCTCCTTCCTCCCCTACCTCACAGTGCCCAGTAATCAGTGATACCCTCTAGCCCACAGCCAGGCCAATCACCTTTCATCCCACCAGAGAAGCCTCTCCAGTTGGCAAATACCATCAAAGGCAGTCCTTCACGGTTGAAGTCCTTGATAGCCTGATAGGTCTTAAATGCAGAGTCTGGAAACCAAACCTGGCCAGCTTGCTGAATTATCTGTTGGGGAAAGTCAAAGAAGACCCAATTAACAATACAGTTAAGATGAATAGGATTTTATTTATTAAAAATGGAAAACTCAAAATCAAACCAACCAACCAAAAACTTGTTCAAGAAGATCATCTCTGAAGGAAAAAAGAAAGGGTCTTGGACCTTTGACATTGTTAAATACTCTTCTTTTTCAGTTTTGATTACACCACCACTCCTTAAAGTTAAAAGGGGGAAAACTTAACTGCATTTACTGGGAGAAGGCAGTCCTAAGAACCCTCATGCAGGTTTCACAAAAGCAACTTTATATGATTCAATTACAACGCCTTAAGGCAAGCCATCTCTACACCTCTCTGCTTAGTACAGTGTTCTCTGTATTGTGGTTTATCAACAGACACTTGATGTGACACTGCTGAGTAGCCTACTTGCTTTCTTTCTTTTTTTTGGTACCAGAGATCAAACTTGGGTCCTTGCGCTTGTGCAGCAGGTGGCGAAACCACAGAGCTAAATCCCCGGCTGAGTAGCCTACTTTTTAGTTCCCCCACTCCTCACTTTCTGGATGGTGTCAGGATTTGAAAAGGTAATCAATCCACCTTTAAAGGAAAAAAAAATGGCTGTGGTGTCCATGCCAGGCATTAGGACAGACTGGATTACTAATTCTGGTTGTAGCTCTTCCACATGGGTACTCAGGGAATCTGGGATCACTGAGACAGCACTGTCTCAGCTGCCTTTCCATAAGGCCATCTCCCTAACAAAACTAGAGTATTTTCTAGCATCAACAAGACTAGTGTAAAGGCCTGTTTAACTTTTCAGGCAGAACCTGGCTTGCAGTCTACCTAGAATCATTTTAAAAGTGAGCAGATTATGGTCTCATACCATTCAAAGTTGGTGGTTTGCAATGCTTCTGATATATTGACAGACACTGCAAAAAAAGCTGTGAACACAAAGAAGCTCTAAGCACAGGCGCACAGTGTGCTTGAGGAGATTTACCTTGGCTTCAGAATCCAGGTTTGCTGGATCAGCTGGGATACTTAGTTCTACTGTTCGGGTTTCTACAGCAACTACACCCATAGGTATTCCTCCTAGCCTGATAAAAAACAGCCACATAAGAACCAATCATGTCAAGATTATAGCCGTTCATTTATTTTCAACCACACATCAACACTTGGGGGAAAAGAAGCAAACACAGTTAGCAGATTGGAATCTGACTCTTCCAGGGGTTAAATATGAGAATCTATGGGTTTGTATTATGGTGGAAAACCACCCTCAGAATCATTCCTATTCTGAAATTCCCCAACATGAATAAATTTAAACCAAGAGTTAAGTAAGGGAAGCCTCTACATTTGGACTCAACAGCCTGTGGACGCACACATCTACCACTGTGGTTGCCAAATGAATTTGCTCAGTTCATTCCAGAGGATCTGCTGATAAGGATGGTGGGAAATGGTTTGAAAGGTGGTAGGAATCTGAAAGTCAGTAACTTTTAATGGCATTGTGGAAATACAGCTGTAGTTTTCTATGGAATATTAATAATGTGGCCCCAGACAAAACTTGAGGGTATACACACTAGGTCTTAGAATTGGGTGTGGATATAGTGTATGTGTGTCATGAAAATGATGAGAAATATGTTCCAAGCTGGGCATGGTGGTGCACACCTATAATCCCAGCCAGTACTCTGGGAGACTGAGGCAGGAGGATCAAAAATTTGAGCTAAGCCTGGGCAACTTAGCAACTTAGTGAGACCCTGTCTCAAAAAAAAAAATCAAAAGGGGTTGGGGACATAGCTCAGTGGGAAGGCTCTCAATTCAAACCCCAGGACTGGGGGAAGAGGGGAGTGCCAAGAGTAGGGAAGTGGTTAAACAAACCCTTAACTTTTTCTTTCACTGGAAGAGGGCAGAGAAATAGGGATAATTATGAATAATAATATTGGTGAAATCTATATTGAAAGTATATATTTAACCTCAAAGCTATGTTAATTTAAAAAGCTTCTCAGGTACTTAAGGCTTCTCTTACTCCATGACACCTTCTTAACTTGTTCTTCATAAAGATTTTCTAGGAAAAATCAGAATTTGAGACGGGAAGAGGGAGGGAGGGAGGCAGGCAGAGGCATGAAGTATAGGGTGAGTTCTTATTCTGGAAAATGATTCAATCTTCACTGTCTTCATCACATTCCTTGGGGTTGGGGCTGGGACAGGTTATATAGTCTCATTCACCACAGCATCTCCATAACAAACTTTCCATAAAGGATGGTCTTTGGTTGATACACTGGGTACTGGAAATGGATTCTTGTCATCACTAGAGGCCTAATGGGGGCATGAGTAGAGACCACCTAGCCCCTTGTCACTTGCCTGCACTGAATAAAAATCAAAAGCCCTCTAGACAACCAGACAACGAGCAGGAGGTACACAGGAGGGTTTAGAAATATTTCTGTTCACAATGATTAACAATCCAACTGGAAACTTGTAATTGCAAAAGCCACCCTAAATCGGTAACTTATAACTTATATATTAGGGCCCATGTGACCTAATAAAGAACATCTTTATCCGAGTATTACAGTTATTTATTGAACTTGAAAACAGCTCAGAACAACTTCTGTTTTCTATTATACTTCATATAAATTTTATCAGGCTAGCACATGAAGATGCTACATCTTGTTTTATAGTGTGTCCCTGGACAAGGTGCCATGGAATAATAAAAGACAATTTACAGCCAATAGCACACATATTCCAAACATACATACCAAAGATGAGTTTTGGCAGCACTTACAGTAACAATCCCAGAAGAATACATTTATATTTATTTCTTGAAATGCCATTGCTTTTGAAAGAAGCTAGTTCCATTTTTGTTTTATATACTTGTGAGCATGTGTATGTGCTTGGAGTAAGAGGCCCAGAACTCATCAGATGGAAAGAAAGGAAGAAGTCAGAGTGGGTGTCGGAATAAACAATGGCAGAGCTAACCAAAGCTAAGCTTGACTGATCTGAGTTGTAGAACAATCCCTATTCTTCCAATCATAAGTGTAAAACATTGTTCTCTTATTTCTCATGGGAAGATCTTAAAGACTTTAACAAATGTTTGACTTTGTGAGGCTTAAAAATCTATCATGTTTTTTACAGACAGGAAAACTGAAGCAGAATAGATGAGAGACAAATTTTCAAAAAGTTGGTCCTAGTGTGATATTAGGACTTTGTAAAGAGCCAACAGATCCTGGGTGAGAGGGCTCTAGCTCTGGCGCATGTCCCAGCTCCAGCTCCACAGTGGGAATTTGACTGGCATGAAGAATAATTCTCACTGGGAGAGAGGTAAAAGACCTGAGACTGTAAAGAAAACAAGCAGTTAGTTTCGGCGAGTTTCTGTCAGTGCTGACTGCAGGCCTGACTCCTATTCAGAGTCACAGTGGAAGACCCTGTCTGTGGGATTTGCCATCTGATGGCTCCTTGTCACTGGCAGCATGAGGTGTGCTGACCTGCTGTACAGAGAGAACCACAAAGCCTAGAATTATTTCCAAGGCTAGAATCTAAATCTCAACCCAAGTGGCATGTTTGAGAATCTTGAGCAGGTGCCACTTTTCACCAAGATAAGGAAAACTGATTGCCCCCCGAGAGGCAGGTGAGCTCCAGATGCAGGTCCCTCGGGCAGCATGTCTCTGCAGTGCAGAACTAGATTAAGATCAGCCCTGGCAGGTGCTTGTTATAGTGAGTGCTGCAGATTATTTCGCATGGAGCTTGCTGTTGAGTGAAGCACTTCTCAGAGTGGATATTAAAATTTAATAGAAACTTCAATTTCCCACTTGAAAAATATGGGTATCCCAGCAGCCTACTCTACCTTATTTTATTCATGCCTGTTTCAAGTAAATTTTTTTCTTGGTAATTCAAATTTGATTATAATCCCATACAGTACATAAATCACTTAAGAAATCTTGATAACATGAAGAAACTTCTCTCAGGTTATATAGAAAAGAAGTCTGATTCACTTGCCACTTGTTCCTGAAAGTAAGTGGTCTTTGGAGGAGAGAAAGTCATTGGTGGGCTATGGCTATTGTGGTTGGACTCAATAGGCCCCCAGAAGGTTTTCTTTCAGCATTATAAGGAGGAAATATTGTCAAAATCAGCCTTAAGATTAAGGATATCATTGGAGTGATACATCAGATAACTACTGGAAACCAGTACTCCAGTTAAGACTGCCTTGGGAATGGCTATATTCCAATATTCTTAGAAAGTTTAGACAAAGAAAGCATTATTGGTAAAAATCTATATAGCCATGGCTCTTTCCTTTTTTATTTTCAGTTGGGAGGAAAATGAGTTTCCAAAACAAAAGTGTTCTTACCTGGCTCTACCAACCACCACAGTTTGTGCCCATGGCTGCATAATCTCTGAGAAAGATCCATAGTCAAAAAATCCACTCAACCACTGACCTTTCTGGGCTGCATAAGGAAAACAAAGAAATAAGTCAATCTATTGACAATGTACTCGATCTGGTGAATTTAACGTAGGATTTGGGGGTAATTTTGGGGAATTTGTTGCTGTTTCTAACCATATTATAATAGATGCAAACAGTAGTCAGCTGAATGTTCAACTGCCTTAAGACATCATCTCCTGTTCCATTTGCTAGTCTGCATAAAAAGAATCATTTATCAGCAAAAGCATCATTTATTGTTAAACGATGGAGTTCAGCTAGCAGAAAGTTTGCATGCTTTTATATAAATAACTTGGCTTTTTTCAAGACACTACAAACATTTGTCAAAAGGTAGCCAAGTCATTAGAGATGTTTTCAAAATATCTATTTTAAAACTTGCTTAACAATTTTGTTTGAGTCCACTGATTTTCTTTTAAAGGAGAGATGAAAGCAGTCAAATAATAAATATTAATGATCAAATGAGGACCCAAACTTGGGGAAAAGATAAGGGATTCAATTTTTCTGCTAAAGAAGCAACAAGAAGGATCCACTTTATTTTCAGCTGAAAAATTACAATCTTTTTACAAGAAAGGGCCATGAACATGTACTTTTGACAGAGCAAAAATGTAATGGTTAAGATGCATACACTTAATGCTATTAACCTCCATTGCATATAGAACTTTCTTCACTGACAACTTTCAACATCTTAGTTTAAGAAAAAAACCTTTTGTTCCACAGGTATGAATGTTTGACCAAGGCCCTATAAAAGCTTCTGCAAATAACTGTTTCCTAGTTTGCCCTCTCAGCTCATGGTTTCTCTGTGATTCTTCTAATTTGAACATGGCCCTCCACCCGCTAAAAACCCAAGTCCAAAACCAATTAAAAGTGGAGATCCGAGCAAGCTAACCTCTGCTGACTTAAACAGGATGGAGAGTGTTTTATCAAGACTAAACTTGTAATTACTGTGTTCTACATTCCTTGCTTCTATGGCCCCAGTGTAAAATGTGATCATCCATTTCAAAATTATCTCTCTATCGTGAGCCCAAAGCTGATCGTTTAGATTCCAGTCTCGTGTTGGGCGTCAGTTTGAAGAATATCACAGCACTATCTTCTCTAATAAATGACTTTAACTTTTCACCTAGAAGATATCTGCTTTAACTTATCACAGGGAATCATCTGCTTTCTTTAACGCTTCCACTAAATTAAAATCTGAAGTCACTCGATTTGGAAGCGAATGTTAGCTGTACATGGACAGCAGGATGAATTACTATAGAGTTGATGAAAAAAATATTATCCCAAAAACAGAAAACTTAGTTTATCAGAAATTTCATTTTATTCTGTGCACCCAGTTAATAATGACCAAGACAATGCCCACCTACACACACTTCTGTTCACATGAGAAGAGGGGCTCAAATTTCAATGAAGGCTCCAGATCAAATTTTTAGGTACATCAGAATATTAAAATTTTAATTTCTTTCTTCTCTTTTTTGCTCTTTTTTTTTGGTAGTACTGGAGATTGAACCCAGGACCCTGTGCATGGTAGGCAAGTGTTGTAGCACTGGGCTATATCCCCAGCCCTTTTTATTTTGAGATAGTGTTTTGTTAAGTTTGTCAGGCAAGCCTTAAACTTGCAATCTTCCTGCCTCAGTTTCCTAAGTAATTGGAACCACAGGTGTGGAAACCACCATGCCCAGCTTCATGATTCTTACTTCAATAACAATGATTTGGAACTAGAGGATAAATTTTAAGATGGAAATGTTTATTTCTTTAAAAATCCTCCTGCCTTGGGCCGGGGATTTAGCTCAGTGGTTCCGCCGCCTGCCTCACAGGCGTAGGGACCGGAGTTCGATCCCTGGTACCAAAACAAAAAACAAAACAAAAAAAACCCTCCTGCCTCCTATGCTGCTTAGGCGGAAGGGAGCAACTGGTTAGCAGTTTGGGCTTCACAGTCCCTAAAGGGCAGATTATACTCAGTACAAACGTAGAACTGGGAAGTCTGCTAGCTTGGTTCAGTGGCACATGCCTGTAATATCAGCACGCTGGGAGGCTGAGGGAGAAGGATCACAAGTTGGAGTACAGCCTGGCCAACTTAGTGAGACTCTGTATCAGAATAAAAAATGAAAAAAGGGGGCAGAGGATGTAGCTCAGTGGTTGCCATTATCTGTACTTTAGAATACTAAGGCATAGAGGAAGTGAGTAACTTGCCCAAGTTAATAGCAAGTAGCAGAACTAGTATATGTATGTAGTAGGTCCTGACCCCTAGTACTGTTTCTAAAAACATCAGCAAAATTTAGAAATATATGAGAATAATATGCCAAAGGAAAGTGCCCTTCCCTTGTAGCCTTTTTTTTCCTTCCTTCCTTTATTTTTTTGGTGGTACTAGGGTTTGAACACAGGCCCTTCACACTGAGCTACATCCCCAGGCCTTTTATTATTTTTTATTTCCAGATGGGGTCTTGCTGAGTTGCTCAGGCTAGGCCCAAAATTGTGATCCTCCTGCCTCAGCTTTTCAGAATGCTGGGATTGTATACATCCACCACTTTTGTCCAGCTATCTCAATAAAAAATTTACTTAGAAAAAAAATTTTAATCTTTAAAATGCATTTTGGGCCAGGTGTGGTGGCATACATCTGTAATCCTAGCACTCAAGAGACTAAGGGAGGATCTCTACAAGTTCAAGGCCAGCTTGAACCACACAGCAAAACCCTGCCTCAAAGAAAAAGAGAGCCAGGGATGTAGTTCAGTAGCACTCCGACTGCTTGGCAAGTACAAGGTCTTGAGTTCAGTCCCCAGTAGCGAAAAAAGAAACAGAAAGTAGTTTAAGTAAGTAAATAGTCAAGTCTAAAAGCTTCAAAGCCAGGGTTACTACAAGGTCCCCAAACATACATACTTGGATGAGGACGACCTGCTAGCATCCACCGAGGATCATAAGGGGCCTTTGTAGGGACGAACTCGATGATTCTGTCTATAGGATCCTTGGAGTTGAGGAGAGGAACTGAACTGTGCACACTCTAAAAGGAGATTGGGAGAGAAAGAACACAACAATCAGTGAAGAGCAATCACATACTCCAACTCAGCAACAACAGCTATAGACAAAAGACAGCAGAGACCACATTTAGAATTACATCCATTGCTCCTGACCATTAGCCAGAAGCATCTCAGTTATGCGCCAAGCCCTCAGCACATGCTCAGGTCTCATGCTTCATTTTGGAGTCTGGCACAAAGTTGTACATTCTGATTCTTGATTTCAGTATGCCTATGCTTTCTGGGAAGTTCCCAGAGAACAGAAGGGTATTGCAAAGGAGAAAAACCACAATGAAGAGAGAGCTTTAATATGCTAGGACTGAGCTGAGCCTAGATAGGAGAGAAGGTGTCCATGTAGAAAATCATTTTAAAAAGGCTTCAATAATAAAATCTAAAGACATTTTAAGAGTAGAGGGCATTGGGCCTGGGATTTAGCTCAGTGGTTCTGCCGCCTGCCTCACAGGCATAAGGACCCAAGTTCGATACCCGGTACCAAAAAAAAAGAGTAGAAGGCATAAGTTGGCCTTAAAAAAGAAATCAACAGTTTTCAAAGAACTTTTTTTATAAAAAATTCTTCCACCATAAAGATGGGCCCACTAACATAGAAGACAGTGAGTGTGGTGTGGCAGTTCTGCAGCAAAGTCAGTGTTGGGTAGGAAGGGCTCACCTTAGGCATATATGACAGCCAGTGCAAGACAGTGAAGACTCCTTCAAAGTCATCACAAACAGTGCTGTGGGTCACTCCATTATTGTGCATGATCTGGATGCCCCCAAGCTGGTTATTGGAGGTATATACTTCCCGCCCAAGGACCTAGAGAAATGAACAAAAGACATTTGTCACCACAGAAAAAAAGACACAGTCTATTTCATAATTTTCACTGAAATAGGTTCCTTCTTCCACAAGACAGAGATTCCTGCCTCCATGGGTTGTTCTTAAGGACTATTAGGAGCTTTCTCCTTAAAACAAAAAACAAAAAACAAAAGACTTTGTACAATCACACATCGTGTTGCAATTCAAAAGACAGCAACCTCTTTCTCTATTAGCTACAATAAGATATGTATAGCATTCTTAGACTAAACTGAAGTAGTATGCAGATTGGGACTCTGAGGCAGGGCTACCTCATTATGTGCAGGTCTGGAAGAGTTGTTATGAAAATACACACAAAAAAAGACAACATATGCCCATATTCTGCCTATCTTTAGTGATGATAAAATTCAGTTAAAGAAATCCTGTAGGGGGTTAGGTTCCTCATTTTTCTAAAAGATTAACTTTTCCCATGCATTTGACTTTTAAAGCTGATCTCCACACACAAGCCCCAAGACTGGCAAAATCCTGAAGCACCAACTCAAGATACATACACAAGCCCCTGAATCTCGTCTTCTTTGTGTGCTGGGTGCATGGCTGTGATTTATTCCCAAGCCTGCTTCCCCTCCACCCTTCCCTTCCAAGGCTGGAGGGAATTCAGGGCCTCCTCTCCACTGTTTCTCTGGAGTTTAACCCTTGCCAGGTCGAAGGGCACCTGCAATTGGAAGCCACAAAGTTTCCTTTAAAGAAGAAAAAAAAAAAGGGCCGGGGATTTAGCTCAGTGGTTTTGCTGCCTGCCTTGCAAGCACAAAGGCCCGAGTTCGATCCCCAGTACCAAAAAAATAAAGAAAGAAAGAAAGAAAGAAAGAAAGAAAGAAAGAAAGAAAGAAAGAA